CATACCACTCAGAGAGGTAAAGTCAATTTATATAGGTATTTAATCTTAAAGAAAATACAGGACTGGTTTGCTTTTGGTACAGGGTCTCTGATAGTCGTGCACTCCCCACGCTAGCGCTCTCACTTGCTTCTTTTTCTCTGTAAATTTGTACTAAACCAAATTGACGCTTTTTTGTATTACTTATTTGGTGTCCATTATTTGTGCGGATGAAGTCAACCAGCGAGTGGACTCTTGGCCTGGCTTTCGCTTTTATTTTGTATTTTTTTATTTTTCTCGTTGGCTTTGGCCCTTTGTATTTGTGTGGGTGTGTGTGTGTATGTGTGGAGCGCCTTTTCATTCGACCCTGCACTTGATAATGAAATATAAACGTGGCAATATGTGAGAGAGACTCTATCTGACTCTCTGTCTATCTGTCTGTCTGTCTGTGGCCACCAGAGAGAAAAAAACAAAGACAAGCAAACGCAAAAGCAAACGTCGAGTCCTTTTGCCAAAGGACTTCATTTCGACGTTCGACGAAAGCATAAATTAATCCGATTTAAGCGGCTGAGTAGCTTATTTTTTTATTATTTTTGTGCTAGCTTTCAGCGGTCAGTTCATTTTTTTAGCTTAATGAGCCACCAGAGAGAGAGAGAGAGAGTGTGAGTGGGAGAGAGTGAAGTTTGTTTGTCAGTTTTGTTGTCTGGTCTGGCATTATTATGCAGGTAACTCAGGTAATGCTCAATCCCCAACTGAACAGCAGCTGCAGCACACTTTGGCAACACGCGCGCTCATTAAATGCCTCGACAGCCACACCTCGAGACGGCGTCAAACGAGGCAAAGTTTTTAATGCACTTGCAACAGAGCAGCTGCTTTGGATGCTGCCTCAAGTATGGCACATTCTAAATTCAATTGAGCTTGAAGTGTTCAAAAGGCGCCAAGCCATGCAGCTGACGGCTGGCAGTCGAGTTAGGGCAGAGAGAGAGTGGGAGTGAGAAAAGAGGAGGGAGAGAGGGCAGAGACAGCTCAGCTAGAGCTCAGACACCTTGGCAGACAAACAAATAAGATATGGTAAGGGCAAAATTGTTGGAAAATCAGGAAAAAATACTGATTACAGCTTTGGGACTGCGCGTCAATCTCGCAGTTTGTAAATTTGGCTTTCCCTGTTGCAGCCAAAATAGTTTTCAATTTGTATGGATGTAAATGTTGTGGATACTTTTATGTATACAAATACTTTAAATTCTTGAAAATATATTTGTACATCTAAAATATTTGTTTAATTTTTTATATGACATTAATACTTCGAAAATTCTTTTATATTATTTATATATCATAAATGTTTTACCTTAAACATCTATATAATTTTTTATATATACTTGCTGTATCTATAGAAAAAAATAAATTATATATATATATAAATATATATTTGTGTTCGCCTTGCGGAATTTATGCTGCGTGATTTTCGCATAAATTACAACAAAACTTGTAAACGTTTGCCCTAGGCGAAATCTCGATGTGCAGGGGGTATATACGAGGCTAAGATGTAGCTAGTGCCAATATATAGACATTGCGATATGCAATATTCTATAGAATATATGTAAAGAAACTATTATTGCCTTATTTCGACCGAAATCTCGCACCCTCGTCTCCTTCAGTATCACAACATTCCATAGAAATTAGAGTCCCCTCAATCAATATTTTGAAGTTATACTTTTTCACTAACAAAGCTTGCAAAACAATAGATACTGGCTCAATTATTAAGTACTTAAGAAATGCCAACATTATTTCGCTCAATATACTTACATTATTAAAACAATAAAAAGCAATTACAAAAATATGCAACGAGCTTAAGGCATCGATGCTATTGATACAGCTTATCATTTCATTTGTAAATAACAAATAAATATATAGATAAATGTGCTTAGAATAGTTTCATGAACTTACTCAACCCACCATCGCATAGCACTAATATAATTTGTAAGTCTGTTTCACTATTACTTCACTTGGCTATTTATATTTCTGCTTATTAATTTTTAAAACAGCATATCTCTTAGTCCATCAAAGTCTAGCTATAAAATATTTACATTTTCAAGTTTTAGCTTTTTTGTTGTTGTGTTTTACTAGTCTGGCCGCTAAATTGGCCAAATAAAAGCTAACAACTGCTAATGGGTTTTGCTACACAGCATTTATCGACCTGGTCGCTGGCGCTCTCTCGTTGTTGTTGTTGTAAAACATTGTTTTTGGTCCACTCTAATTGACATGAACACGGATTGTCATTAGGTTAATGCATCAATTGATAATGGAGCCAGGTTTTATGCCAATTAATTGAATTAAAGAGCAATTAATATATATATATAAATGTATATGGGCTAAAAATACACTGTAAAAAACAAGTGATGACAGCTTACATATAGAAAACATTTGATATATGCACAGAAATATCTTGCACTTGAGCAATGGAAATGGAATTATTTTTAAATAGCCAAGGAACTGGCACAGAGAGAGACAGAGAGTGTGTGGGAGAGAGAGAGAGAGAGAAAGACATAGACATAGCATTGACATAAATCAACTCAGTGAACAAGCTGTTTAAATAGAAATTGCGCACTTCTATACAACGCCACGCCCCCTCTGCCACGCTCACTCCGCCGCCCACCGCTGCGCCATTAGCAGCTGAACTCATTTGTAATGCCAAAGTAAACAGAAATTTCTGTTGCTGCTTTTTGGTGGCGTTTGAAAATGTCAACGAAATAAATTCGGTTTGGCATAAAATAAAATATTTACACATTGGCAAATGTTGTCACGCTTAAACAATTACCAAAAGCCTCTGTTGCGGTGCCTGCCTGCCCTAGAGAGAGAGAGAGAGAGACAGAAAGAAAAACAACAATACTCAGCTAGAACATAACTGGGCGAATAGCCCAGCTTTTTCCTCTTCTATTTATTTATTTATTCATTGGTTCGAATCCCAATTAGAGAGCACTCATATGAAATTATACTGCATGTGTGTGAGAGAGAGAGAAATGGAAAAAAGTAAACAATTGAATATATATTTAATCGAATATTTTTATAAAATTTGCTCAATTGGTCACAGGTTCGAATCCTAATTAAAGCATTATTATGATGATGACTATTGTCAAGTTATATTATGCAGAAATAAAAGAAGATGGTACATTAATTTGAATCTGTTTGTAAATGTGACCATTTTTTCACAGGTTCGAGTCCCCCCATGAAAGAGCCTAAAAAGTATCCAACTCACAGGTTCTTGAGCTTGTTCCACGAGCTCGAATCCCCCATAAAGCCTTCATTTGTTTATCAACTATTTGAGGGGTATCAAGAGACATGGTGACATTAAGCTGACAGTAGGTTGAAATGAGTTTTTGTTGCTTATGAAGGCAGCCTATTTATAAATGTGATTTGAACCCTTATCTGAACACTGATTCACGTACAGCCCGGAAAAAAACACAATCGAACCGAACAGAGCGCGTCACAGTTTCGGTCGAACGCAACATTTTCCGATAGCCCCATTTTTTTATTAACATGTGAGGTCAGTGTCAAGCCAAGCTATGATTCATCTGTCCATGGAACCATGCCTGAGTGCGATTGCGATTGCGATTGCGAATCTGAATGTGAATGCGATTACGAGTGCACAAACAAATTGCAGTCACTCGATTGACATGCCATCAAAGCCCATTCACATCAACTTCAAAGCTCAACTGCCGTGAGATTGGTCCAGCTCTTATCAAATCTGTAAAGCAGTTTAAAAAAATAGCCATAACAAATAAAAAACTACTTTTTAAGTTTCGAGTAGCTCAAATCTAGCTTTGATTTGAATAAAACATAGTGCTTCACTCTGAATGGAAGTGTTCGACTATCAGCTATCCTAAGCTCTACACTGAGCTTTTGTGGGTTTTATTCTGGATTGCTTGTAGGGCACTCTCTCTACTCTCTCTCTCTACTCTTTTCCACTGTTTCACTCATCTGTCTTCACTGCTTCTCTCCTTACCCTCCTTTACTATGTGCTTTCTCTCTCCTTTCTTCTCTCTCCTTTCTCTTCCCTCTCTCATCTTTCTCGCCTATATCGCCTATCCTTCTCACTTTCCTGTTTCCTATTTCTCTGCTCTCTCTTCTGTCGTTCCTCCTCTGTCCTCTCTCTCCATCTCTGTTTCGGAGTAGATCATGAAATTCCCATAAAACCCAAGTCCAACCGCAAAAGCTTGTCAATTATTTAAATTATAAAGTCTCTAGAAGTAATTTCAATTTTAATGTTCCATCTGTGGCCCAATTTCAAAAGCCATAAACATAATCTCCGCGGCTCATAACTCATATTCGTTTATCCATATTCAGATCTTTGCGCGCATTTTTTTCATGGCTAACAGCAGCTACCCTCGAGTATACATATGTCAATATGTACGTAGCATATAAATTTAGATTAAGATATTTATTATATAAGCGGATATATATACATATATATATGTATATATATATATATATATATATTTGGATATATATTTGCGCAGAAATAGAAGCGCTTGAATTTGCGTGAGTGTCGCTAGAAATGTAAAAATTATTAGAAATAATTTAAAAATGTTTAACAAATTTGTACACACACACTCTCTGTATGTCTCTCTCTCTCTCCCCCTCTCCCTCTCTATCTATGTGTGTGCATATAAAATATCCAAAATGGCTGCAAAGGAAATTTCGTTGGAAAAACGTTTGGTAAAAACTTTTGGCGTTCCGTGCGCAAAAAACGCGCGCAAAAATACCAAAAAATATTCAAAAAAACGAATTGCTACAAATTTATTTATAACAAAAAAACACAAAAAAAAACAGAATTTCAGCATTTAAATGCATAAATAAATTAACTGCCCAACTAATATTTTTTTCACAATTTTCTGAGCGAGTTTTTTTCATCGAGCTCAAAAATTGGAATTGCCTTTGTTCAGCAGTTGCAAATTTAAGTAAAAATCTGTGCGTAATTGAATCTCTGTTCAACAATTTAATGGAAAAAATTGGGGTGTGGCGCTTACCTTTTGCACTAACAGGGGCTGGGCGAAGTCGACACCGCCCTGCAGGCGAAATCCCCAGGGCTGAGCATCGAAACGTGACAATTTGATTTGCAGCAATTGCGGTTGGGCCATTTTCCTATTGCACTAAAATTCGGAATTCGGGAAGGAAGAAGGGTGCTGCAAATAGAAAGAAACAAACATATGCATATGAGTAAATATGTGTGAAAATACATGGCGTATACTTGATATCACGTAGCCGACTAATTAAGCTATGCAAACGTAAGAAAAATACCAAAAAAAAATTAAAAGGGAAATTTGCAGCTCCCACAAATAGAGATATTACTCAGGCATGTGTACTCAGAACAAGCTAATCCCAACATGCCATACTTTCTCTCTCTCCCGTTCTCTTTCGCTTTATCTATCTATCTCTCTTGCCCTATAGCTATTCGTAGTCCTGTTCTTGGCCAGCCTTGATCTCTGCGGCAACTGCAGCTGCCAGCGCATTCTTGCATGTAAAACAAAAAAAAAACAGCTTTAGTACCAAAACTGCCAACATACTTTTGGCTAAATCTAAACAAGACTAGTTGGCAGACTAAGAGATACCCTGGAAAGAAGTTACAGAAAGGTTAGATACCAATAGAGAATATTATTTTCTACTGCTCCCACGATCAAGCTGTTCTAGGTAGCAGACTAAGATATACCTTCTCAAAGCTGAGAGAAGAAAAGTTATACAAATTATATTACACATACTACATATAGCTCTACTCGACTTAGAGATACCCTGTGAAATATTAACTACTTGACTCAATACAACGAATATACCCCATTGACCATAATCTAAGCACAACAGAACTTTGTTAGATATCACCATTTTTTTCTCACTTTCTCTACCTCTCCCTGTTCTCTCTCGCTCCCTGTCTACCATAGCCACAGTGTGTGTGTAGGTGTGTAGGTGTGTGTGGAAAAAGTGCACGCATTCGAGTGCACATGCTAACGGGAGACCCAGTTGTGTGTAAGTGCGGCTTACATGGCTTTTTTCTTCCTAGTTATAGTCGTCATGGCTGCTTTGTAATTTGTACAGCATGCGAGTGTGAGTGTGTGTAGGTGTGTGGGTGTGTGTGTGTTGATTTAGTTTGCTGCATAACAATTTTGCTGAGTGTTGTGTTTTTTATTAGTAAAGACGGTCGACGAATCATGGCTCGGCTCGGCTTGGCTTGGGCGGCTCGTTGCAGCAAAGGCAAAGGGAAGACACTCAAAGTGGAAGTAACTACATTAAGCTATTAAAACGACAGCAGCTGCCAGGCAGCCAGGCAGCCAAGCAGCCAAGCAGCCAGGCGGGCTACAAAGGACAAGGACACACACAACATACAACACATGAAACAGAGACACATTTTAGCACACACAGCAGTTTAATTAACGTTAAGTGCGGGTGGTAATGGCAACAGCTCGATCTACAAGTCACAACATACATATATGAAAGAGAAGGAGAACAGGCGAGCGAGCGAGAGAGAGAGAGAGGTGACACAGCCTTGAGTTGGGCAACATTTGCATGTAAATGCCCTGAAAGTTGAGCGCCCATTAGAAGCGGGCACTGAAATAATTTAATTAAAATATTAAATAAAATGTGAAAAGCCAAAAAGAGCGACGCGACGCGTCGCCCCAGTGCAGCGAAACACACACGAAACTGTGCAAACATAAATGCCAGCTGGAGTGCTGGATGCTGAGATTTCAGATACCAACTACAAGTACACCTGCGACTCTATGTCGAGTGTATGTGTGTGAGTCTGTCTGGCTAATTACTCGCATTAGAATTGGGTTTTAATGGTCTCTCTCATTTGGAGCATATGCACAGGTCTGTGAATACTAATATCTAGCTCAACAACACTTCACGAAGAAGATTAGCGAGGAAGCTTAAGCTCTGTGAAACAGTGGAACATGAACTACTGCATAAGTGGAACAATGGAATATGGGCAACAATGAATCGATTACCCAAATATGTGTAATGAACTCCAATAATGAATGCTAATAATGTGCTCCAATAATCCTTGTGAGTGGAAGTGATGTGCTAACTTTTACTATTACTCTGAACTAATACTCATACTAATATCAATAGTAATACTATTACTAACTACTACAAATATTAATATCAATACCAATACTCATACCAATACCAATAATAATAATAATAATATTAATACTCATACCAATACTAATAATAATACTAATACTAATACTAATATGAATACTAATAAAAATACTAATACCGATTTGAATTTAACAAATTTTACTCACAATAATACCAATACAATAACAACATTAATAACAATGTCAATTCAAATTGATAGCTTTATTTGTTCAACAACTATGTCAACTTCCTGGCTGTCAGCTTTAACCTGACTGCCAACTTGATTGGGCGAACCCTGACAGCAAACTCATGCACATATATATACATACAGACATTTATCATTAACTTATGCGCAATCCATTGGAGCTTTATGACTAATAACCAAATGCCAGCTTACGAACAAAATCCAGGCACGGATACACGTATTTCATTTCCTCACTCAACGCGATACGGGCTCGACATTATGCAAAATAAACAGCCGAAAGCTCTTGCCCACATGTAGATACAAATGTATCTGTAGCTGTGGCTGTAGCTGTAGCTGTAGCTGTGTCACAGCTTGTGGCTGCAACTGCGACAAAACTTATCGCTAATAAGTTTTACACACAATTGGCAAATTAAAATTTATTTATATGCATTCAAGAGAAGTGGAGAGCTGCCCGGGCCTGGGCCTGGGCTGTAGCAAGGGGAGCTGCCATTCGATTGCGACTGCTGTTATTATTATTGCTGTTGACGTTGAACATTGGATTTGGTATTGGATAAACGAATTGGTATTGGCATCAAACAGGAGCGGACTAGCAGCCGAGCGGGCACTAAGCCAAGACAGAGTCACAGCCGAAGGGTGGGCTAAGCTAATGAAACCTAGACAGAGTCACAGGATGGGCAAGGCTAATGAATAAGAGCAATTCACTCACAGTAATTTGAGCTTTGAACTCATGCATAACAGTTTGATTTGAACTCGAAACCTTCTTTTGACTAATCTGTATTTCCCTATCAAAAATATTGTTCAAATCTGATATACGCGCAGTTTCTTAGCCTTTACTGTGTCGCTATGCAGCAATCCGCTCCTGATTTTGTTATTGTGACTGTGACGTGCCTCCCCTCTTTGCCATGAGCTGTGTGGCACAAGCAGCCGTTGCATTTCATTTCATTTGATTCAGGGAGAGCAACAAATCAATTTGCATTCGCTTGTTTTTGAGGATTTATGGCACAGCCATGTGTGTGATGGGTGTGTGTGTGTGTGCCGCGAGTGTGTGCATTTAATTTTTGGGGCTTGGTATATGTTTTAAAATCTTTCTTAAACAAAAGCGAATATTTAAGCTGGATTGCGTTATGGAGTTGAACCAACGGCCATCGAAATTGATTTCTGACTCACGTATTTTATGTGCCATTAGCAGTTCGGACATAGCTATGACCGACTGCTCCAATAGATGGAGCGAGCGTCTCTCATTTTGTTGACCTGCACATAAAGCGAATGACCGACAGCAGCAACAACAATTGAGAAGCCAGGCAAAGAGTAGAAGCCAACGCAATCAAGCTGAAACCTCAGAAATTCAACCGAAAACCGAAAAGCCAAAATCAACTGAAGCATCCAATGGCCACCGCGGATCGTTGCCTCTTTTAACGCTGATGATGTCATCCAAGGGGCCAGGGGAGAGCGGGTAGCCAGCAACTGGATACGGCAATTCGGTTTGGGGATTTCGCACGCTGCTCAAAATCTTTGTAAATAATGAAGCACAATGTTGGATACCCCATAAGAAATGGTTAACAGAAATGGGGTATGCACAATGTCTGAAATACTAGTATGAGCTAGCAATAGAAGCAGCAGCGAAGTCTGAAAGAGAAGTATCTCAGTTTCTGGCATTAAGCACTAATCGAACATGTTTCTCTCTGCCTCATTGCCTTTTCTTTATTTTTTTGATAGTTGATTTTTGGTTTTTGTTGTTGTTCGATTTCAATGATTAGATTTGGGCGGTCAGAGATAACTCGGACACTTAGTCAGCAGAGCGAGAGGAAGTTATTTTTGGACAAATACCGTTCCATTATAGTCATGTATATGTATCTGTGCGTGTTTGTGTGGTTATATCTTTATATATTGATTGGTGAAATGCCAAAGAAGAAGAAAGACGTTTAATATAGATAGAGATGCACAAATAACTAAAGATACTGAACGCTGCAGCTAAAGATACAGAAACAGATACAGATACAAATGCAGATAGAGTTATGTAGAGTAAGATGCTTTTCTCTTCTATCTCATATCTTCTTCATCTATAAAGGCAGTTGTTGCCATGGCAGCTGATATAACTAGAGACTGTTGGTGCAGTTACGCATACATTTCCCTTTTATAACCCGCTAATGAGGTAGTGGAATTGCAGTTGCTGCAATCGGAGAAGATTTTCTCAATTATTTATAGCGCTAAACAAATTCAAAGTTTAGACAAACTTTGGTCTGGCACGCCAGCACTTATCCCATGCTTCTGCTGTTGTTGTTGCTGTGGAGTATTTTCAACACATTAATAAACTGCATATGCAAACAGCTCATTAAAAGCCACTCGAGTGGCCTGTGGCAAGCAACACGCAAGTCAGAGCTGGAGCTACAGCAGCGGCTAGAGTGCCAGCCAAACGAGATCTCTTTCACGACTCTCCCAGGGCAAATGCAACTGCAGCAGCAGCAGCACCACCACCACCAGCAGCAACTGCCACTGGCACTGCATGTGGCATGTGTGTAGCTGCAGCATGCGACGTCAAGTGGCCAAGCCCGAGTGTCGAGCATTGAGCGCAAAAAAATCTAAGAAGCAGCAGAAAACTGCTTGAGAAGTTGATTTTGTTTATTTGCTGTTGCTGCTGCTGTTGTTGTTGTTTGGCTTTTTGGGCCAAACAAAAGTGAAGTTTTGTTGTGCTGCTGCATCGTCTGGCGCATCAACGCGTCGACATTCACCCACTAACAGCCAAAGGGGCAAATTAGGGACAAAAAACGCAGCCAACGAGGCTGTCAAGAAATAACAAGCCAAACGCATGCAGGCATTCATACATATATCTGTCTCCCTCTCTATCTG